GGGCCCATGCCGGGCCAGGCGCGAAACAGACACAGACGCCGATCCTGAGTTTTGGTTTTGCAAGAAAGATTGGCATTTTTTGAACAGTTCTGAAAGGATGTGCCGAAGCCCCACAGAAGGGCTGCTCTTGGGTTGGGGTCAGGGATGGCTTCTTGGGGTGGGGAGCCTCGGGGGCCAGGGAGGGTCGGAGGAAACCACATGGCGAGTTAAGAGAAGTTTCCAGGAAGGCACCAAGGTGCATGAAAATCTGAAAGAGGAACTTGGACAGGGAAGTGGGTCCCGGAGTGGTTTTCTACGCAGTATTTCCAGTCCCACCTGCCCCTCCGGAACCTGTCCACACCTGGGAAGAGGTGGGTAGAGTGTTTCCCTTGCCCCTGAAGCTGAGTGAGATTTTTCCTGACGGTTTTGACAGATGGCAGGTGGGGAGTGAGGCAGTGACTCTCATGGCAGGTGAGGGAAGGCGTTTCAGGCTCCTTTGCAGGACACCTGTCCCTGCAGCCCCAGCCTCCACCCCGTGAAGACGCTCACACCCCTGAGGGAGGAGGGGAGACCTGAGGCCGCCAGGCAGCAGCAGACGAGCCCCCGCCGTGCGTGGTCTGAACCCCTGACCCACAGCATCCAGGAGTGCGGGAAACGGTTACCGCTTCCCACAGTTAAACTCTGGGGGCGGATGCTAAGAGGTCCCAGAACCAGAACCAGGAGATGCTTGCTGGAGGCCGTGCAGCAGCGGGGACCTGGAGAACAGTGGGCCTCCCGGAGACGCCGGAAGGAAACCAGCTAACAGGACGTCGTCGTGAAAGGGGTGGAAAACTTCTCCACTGGGAAGCCAGGAGGAGAGGCCCGGGGGGAGCCCAGGTTTTAAATCTCTCTTCATATTTTTAATGGTGCAGTCGTTTCATCTTGAGAGCTGCTTTCATTTCGTTTAATAGCTTGACTCCCGGTGAAACGCAGGTAACTCAGGGATTGATGAAATTTCAATTTTTCATGCCTTCATTACCATCTCAGCACGGATAGAGATTTTAAGATCATGAAGTATGGTGGGAAGAGATAGACTGGGATTTCAAAAATGTAGAACAGATAAACAAGATTATACTGTACAGCACAGGGAAATATATACAAAATCTTATGATAGCTCGGAGAAAAATGTGACAATGAATATATATATG